CACCGAGGAGAAAGCAGAGGGAGAAGGGGCTAAAAGCTGGAGTCTTTAGTGATGTTGCCGGGAGGTGTGGTGGATATCAGTCCCCACACTCCGGCTTAGAGTTTGGCTTTGCAAAAGGAATCGTTAAGTGGCAAGGTACAGAGCAGGGCTTTCAGAGCCAGCTGGGAAGGGGAAGGTCGGTCTTGAGGACTGTCATTGCTGCTTGGAGAGGCTTTGGAACAGTTTCTAAATACAGCTTTGGGATGGTCTTCATGCCTTCTTTAAAATGGTGAAGTGAAAGGCCCAAAAAGCTGGTTGTGCTGGCAGGGAGGGCTCCTGAGCAAGGCCACCCCATGCTTCTGATGCGGAGGTCTGGCTGGGAGAACAGCAAAGGGGAGTGCATCTAGCCCAATCCTGAAGCACACCTGCTACAGGAGGGCCTTTCCCTGCATCCTTCTAATCTGTGCTGACTCTTGAGCCACCAGATGGGAGATTTAAGCTTTAGGAAAGGGTATTTTTAATGTTATATTTTCCTGCATTTTTGCCTCCATGTTCTCTCCCTTTGCTGCCCCAGCTTTTTCTTGCCTGCATCCTTGCTTAGCATTCAGTCCCTTTCTCCCTTTCCTCTCCTTTCTCTAGAAAAACATGCTGTAAAGCTGCAGTTGGAGCAGCTATCCCAAGCAGTAGCTGTTAGGGCTCCGTAGCTGCCGAGAGGTTTGGGTCCAGGTCCTGGATCTGTGCACAGCCTCCCACTCTCAGCAGATATAGGCGTAGGAAGGGGGTAATGAGCTCCAGATAAAGCCAAGGACCCTGCCAAGTGGCACTAGCGCAGGGGGAGCTTGGAGAGCACAGCAGGGGAGGCCTGAGTGGTCTCAAAAAAAGGGAATAGCATTGAGGCTCCCTTCTGCACCTTCCCAAGAGGACCCCGCAGCCCCACTTCACCATCAGCACAGGAACTTGGATGCTGTTAGGGAGTTCATTAGTAAAACCTCTGAGCAGTCCCTACTGCCATTGAGTACCTATTAATGCCTCTTGAGGGGAGAGGAGAACATTGGAAAAGGACAAAAATAATCTGAGGGTTCTTGATCTGTTTTTGGTCTGAGAGGTCATGGATGAGGTTGGAGGGGCAGCTGGGAGGGGAAGAAGGGCCGGTTAGGGATGCCAGGCATGAAAGCAGCACCGTGATTATCTGCCGAAGTCTGAGTGCAAAAACATAATCTGACTTGAACTCAGAAGCTCCCGAGGGCTGCTTTAGGGTTGTAAACACCTACTCACTGACCCGCTTTGTGCACATCTCAAGCCAGGTATTCCTGCACCAGAGGGAAAGCCAGCAAAACCTGCACAGATGTCCCTAACAGCTGCAGCTGGGCTGTGGTAAACCACCTCTGCTGCTACAGTTTATTAGCACTGCAGGGTCTGTCCCCTTCTTGCTTGCTTGTGTATACAGTTGGCTGTTAAAGGACACTGACATCACTTAATTAATGGCTTAATTGAATCTCACAAAGGGATCGAAATTGGCTGCCTGACTCTTGTCACTGAGATGCTCACATAAGAAATAGTAAATCACCAATTCAGCAGATAAAGCTGCAGCTCTAGGTAGAAAGTTCTTGTTTCTGGGGATGGGGAAATAATTTCTCTTTGCAGAATAATACACTATTAGGGAGAAGGCTGGGGGCTATTTTTCCAAGCCACCAGGTGCCATCCCTGTCCAACGGAAGGGTAACTGAGTTAGACTAACACCCCAAGGTGGTGTGGTGGTCATTAAGGGGTAAACAGACCTGAGGCAGCATTTTATCTGTAAGTCAGTCAGAAGACTTTAGTGTTTCACCCCCTATGTGATGGAGAAAGGTCCAGGTGGCATTTTAAAACTGAGGGCAAAACCCCAGAAAGGCCAGGTTTGAACTAGGATGAAGCTTTGCAGTCAGTAGCAGCTTCTGAGCTTGTTTAATGGGAAAAGGCTTCTTTGAGAGTAGTGAATCAAAAGTGAGGAGGGAGTGGAGGGAAAAATGTCCCAAAACAATGGGGAAGCCCAAAGGGAGAGGATGTGACCCTAATGAGGGTGCTAATGCTGTGGTCGTGCTACTGACAAGTAATTGCTGCTCAGGAGGAATGTGAGCCAGCAGAAAACAGTATTCCACCCAGGCGCCAAGAAAAGCAATTAGAACTGGTAAACACCAGTGGGTGACTAAAACCAGGTCCTTAATTAATAGTTTCATCTGAAGGGTAAGGAAATCATTAAGTGCTATTGGTTTCTAGTAATTCCCTGCAAGACGAACAACAACAGTTTTAAGACTTTTTTTCAGTGTACAGTGTGTGCCGGAAGGAGGGACTGAGCTCTTGCACAAGGTGGGAGATCTTGCTTTGTGTAGCTGTGCTTTCCCACATCACTGATGACTGCCCAAGAGGCCTGGGATGTGCTGCAGAATAAACAGCTCGTACTGAGCATTTAGTTTGGACATGGCTTTGGGGATGCTCCATCAGGGCAGGAGAGAAGGTGAGATTGAAAATGTGACTTCAACGAAAAGCTGCACAACTGAAACACTGTGCCAGAGGGCTCAGGGAGGGTACATGGAGCTGGGGGTTTGGAAGACAAATACTGCAAGATACTGTACAGATCCAGCCACTGAACCATGGTGAGTAGCATCAGCCTCTTCTGTCCAGGTCAGAGAGTGCTATATAAATGTCAGTTGGAGGAAGAAGTAGGGAGATAGGTACCAGAACTAGGCAGGGCAGACAGGGAGATAAAACTTCCTACTGTATAAGCAGGAGCAATGTATTGGTAGACTTCATAAAATGTTCACAAATGCTCAGAAATCAAGAGTCTTAAGGAGTGGTCTTTACAAAGGACACAACCTTGATTCTGAGCCTGGATAAGACAAACATTTATTCTCATTTCTTTCTGACTCTCAAGTCATCCAGAATCACAGAATCACTAGGTTGGAAAGGACCTTCAAGATCATCAAGTCCAACCATTAATCCAGCGCCACCATGTCCCCTAAACCATGTCCTGAAGCGCCACATCCACACGTTTCTTGAACACTTCCAGAGATGGTGACTCCACCACCTCCCTGGGCAGCCTGTTCCAATGCCTGACCACCCTCTCAGTGAAGAAATTTTTCCTAATATCCAATCTAAACCTCCCCTGGCACAACTTGAGGCCACGTCCTCTTGTCCTATCACTAGTTACTTGGGAGAAGAGACTAACACCCTCATCGCCACAACCCCCTTTCAGGTAGTTGTAGAGAGCGATAAGGTCTCCTCTCAGCCTCCTCTTCTCCAGACTAAACAACCCCAGTTCCCTCAGCCGCTCCTCATAAGACTTGTGCTCCAGCCCCCTCACCAGCTTCGTTGCCCTTCCACCTACGCTTCCCTGAATTTCAGAAGGACTGCAAATCTCTTCCCAATCTTCTTTTTCAATTTGTTCTATCATCTTTATCTGATGTGGACACTTGTGCTGTATTGATGCAACGAGCAACTTGTGGTAGAGAATGGTAGTGTTTGTTTTTTTCAGTGTGTTTATTAGACAGTACTGACAAGCTTGCCGACACAGACTTGTGCTCCTCCTTTCTCAGTGCTGGTCACTGTGCTTAGCACAGAAATCAGTCCAGCCGTGCTGTAAAGTACATCAGTGTTCACACATGCCTTCCCCATCTGGCTGCCTGGATACTCAAAGAGTTAATCTTTGTGGTTTATAGCTGACCTCGTATCTTCGCCTTAAAAAGAGGAATATGAAGTCACTAGAAGCTCAGCCATATTTCTGGACCGAGGGGGAAGCTCTTCTAGTGTGTCAGACCTAGAAGAGGTCTGAAATAAGAACCTCTTTTCCTCACTGTCAAATCTGTGACAGCTCAAGGAACTTCCCTTTAAGATAACCTACCCTCTATTCAAATTCAGGCAGTTGGAGTAAGGTAGGAGATTCATCCAAGTCTTGTTTTCTTCTCTTCTGTCAAATGCAACTCAACAGGCTCTTCTAAGCAGACTGATTTCTTTCAAAACCTGCCGTGTGCCATTCAGCCCCGTGAAGGAGGTTCACTGCCTTGTTGCCATGGTACCCTTTCTCTAAAGAGGAAGAGAATAGTTAATTATGCAATTTAAGAAACTAAGGAGAACGACAGAAAGAGAAACAATAGAAAGGAAGATTCTGGGTTGGTGATAGAACTGCTGGCTGCACCAAACTACACTCTGTTTACAGGTGAAATATTTTCCCAGCATATGGTGTATATGGCCAGGGCCCCTCTGGCAGCATGGATTTCAAGATCTGCCCTTTCCTAGGCAGTGTGCCTCTGCCACCCAGGAAATCAATTCTGTAGTCAGTTACTGCTGTTATCTTCCCTGGTTAATGCTCCAGAGAGCCTCAGACATTTTTGCTTGGCAGAAATTCTCTCTGAATGGACCTGGGACAGCAATAATACATCACAGACCCATGACAAGCTCATGCTGCCTGTGGCTAGCATTTCATTGTTCCTCAGGCCTACTAACCCCCTGCTTGCTTTACCCAGGACCTCAGAAATCTAGTTCATGGTGCACAAGGCAGGACCAAAGAGGTGGCAAGCATCAAAACCGGCAAGATCCCAGCCCCTTTCGAAGGACTGGCATTTTCCATTTGCCAGTAGCACTGTCAGGCTAGCTACAGCTTGCGTGGAACAAAGCACCGCAACAGATCTTTGCCAATAATGGCTCAAGACTACAGTGCTCCATGCTGTGCGAACAGGGAGAGTAGAGTGCCTCTCGCACGGCACCCTGAGCTCTGCAAGCTGGGGGAAGGGGAAGACTGAGCCATGCCTTGTTCTCAAATGTGTGCAGTGAGAGAAGGATGGAAGGAAGATGACGTGAGCCCCTGCAGTTGTTTACTACAGATGACTGGAAGGAGATCTGTTTCGGTACAGACCTCAAGCTCCCCTTCCACCTAACAAGGGCAATAATAGCACCAAGGGCTAGACAAGAGCCACATACAGTGGTTAAGAGGAAGCAGCAGTTGAGAGGCAATAATAATCCAAAATACTTCTGGGAACACAGCAGGAAGAGCTGTCAAAAGATCAACATTTTAATCAACAAACTTTGTACACAGGAGGCTCCTCACTAAGGGAGTACACGTACTCCTGCTTTTACCACCACCTTCTACCACCTGGGCTTTTAAGGCCCAGGATGGTTTCTCTTCTTCAAACTTCCCTCAAAGCATTTCCAGGGAGTGCGGCTTTCCAAAATTTGTCACAGGAGCAACATTCAACCCAGTCCTTGATGCATGAACTCATGTTGAATGCTGTGTGTCTCTTCCACTCTCCTCTCACATTCGCCTAGCTTTCCGTGGGCGGCAGCCATTGTGTGGAACTGGGGTGTTGTCAGTGATGGAGATGACCTCCAAACCTCCCATAGTCAAACCCTTGATGGCAGCCTGGAAGAACAAGACAGCAGACAACACACTGTTAATACACTGAAGAGCAGAAAAGGGAAGAAGGTCAGGGGAAAATAATTTGGTCTCCTGTCCAAAAATCAACTTGTTCCAATGGTTCTGCTTTGTAATTATCTTAAAAATAAGTAACTTGTATCAGAAGACACAGTTTAAACCTATCTGCTCCAGTCCTTTCATCAGAGTTTCCATCAAGTTTCCTGCTTTAGTTGGAAGAAGTCCCAAATACAGCTTTTATTCTGCCTCCAAAGTGAAATTACTCTAGAATTCTAATGATTCAAAGATTTCACTACTAGGCACTTGAGTCACTAATTCTTTACATCACCATCACAAAAAACAAGTTAATAGGTGTAGTCATGAGACTAGCCTGAATTTAAAAAACCTGGATAATGCCTGAGAAAGAAAAATATGAAAAGAAATTCTGACACCTACTTTGCGTCCTGGTCCCAGTCCTTTCACCATGACTCGTACATGTAATACACCCTTCCCACGTGCTTTCTGCAAAAAGAACAACTGGTTAGTGTTCTCTTTGATATTACTAATGCTGTTCTGGGTCTCCTGGAATCTTTCATTCCCTTCTGATGCGCTATCATAGTATTCTTTAAGTAAAAATAAAGAGTAGGTAGTAATGGATACAGACGAGAAATAGGGGGATTATTGCACAAAGACACTAGGAAAAAAGGAGGCCTGGATACAGCCATGGCAGTTTTAGGAGAACTTCTGTGCTAGGCTGTCAACTCTGCATACAGAGAAAGCTTTAAGATCAAACTATCTGTGACCTAAAGCCAGGGCAGCAAATGACATATCCGCAGATACGTGACTGAACTGGCAAGGGACTAACAAGGACTAACTCAAAGCTGTTTTCCCTTCTCTAATGCAGCGACTTCTCTCCTGTGATCAGTGCACTCCTTCTAGAGGGTAAATGAGAAAAGCAGGCAAGCTTCATATTTGCTGTGCAGGAGTCCATACCTTCAGTGCAAAAATTCTAGGGGCCTGCAAATTGAAAATTAAAAACACCTGCTGTAAAGCATAGCCCTGCTGCCACCAAGTGGATGGAGCTCCTCTGGGCCTCCCGCCTTCCATGTTCTGGTGTACTAACAAATTTAACAGTGACAGAATAAATCTGTCCAAGCGCAGCCATGCAGCTATTATAAGGCTCCGATAAGCACAGATTAATAGTGAGGATGTTCTTATATTCCTCTGAGTTAACCACCATAAGCTGTTGGCCAGCAGTGGCACCAAAGACCTCTGACAAGAAAGCCTGGAGCGAGTTCCACCTAATTTAAGATGAGGATTTTCGGTTTAACTTTGCCTTATTCTGCTGTAATGAGGACCATGATACAGCCAGCCTCATCTTCTCCTGCCACCTGGACACCCACATGTTTTTTTAGAAACAATTACAGTGAACTGTATGCAGCTGGAAACTACATGCAAGGACATCACCTTCTCTGACTGGAACTGCTGGCAGCAGCTCAGTTCTCCTGTGGCAAAGAACTAATACAAAACATTCAGCCAGTAATTACAGCTGCTTCTCAGTCCCCTACAGTGCAAAAATTGAACTGCTGCTGATTCAGGGGTTACGTTTCCAAAATGGCTGAGAGATGTTCAGTTAGAAAAAAGAAGCTACGCAAACTGGAGATAGAAAAGGATAGGCTCCAAGATACGTTTCCCAGTCACAACCTGCACAGCTAAGTTCACCCTCTGGGCATGTTTCAAACACAGTTTGTCTGTGTGAAGATGTGCAGCATGCCAGGCAGCTAGGGAAACTGTCAGCAAACAGCAGCGTGCTGCTTGAACACTAAGGAACAGAGCTCTGGACTGCTGCCTGTGAATGAGGCATGTACCCAGGTAGTGGGGGAAGTCAGTCAGTCCTCCCCTCTGTGAGGGTAAGAATCATCAACGCAGACTCACCACTGCTGCTGCCATGGCTGCGGTCTGTGCCGCAATGGCAGTTCCCTTCTTGGCATTCTGGAAGCCTTCTGTGCCACAGGATGTACGGGCAAATGGTCTGTTGTCAAAGCTGACTACCTGGATGTGGGTACTACAGAAAGAGAGAGGCAAACGAAAGGAGGAAGCTAGAACAAAGCTTTATTCTCTAGTTTCTTCTCGCTCAGCTTACTGGCCACAGGACTCCCATCTCCCTTCTCCAAGCCACCTTAACTGAGCACTCTCTTCTGAGGTATCCCACTTACATGAACTAGCTGCAGAAACCTCCCAGCAGTGATGTTCTAGATCACCCTAGATCATCTAAGCAAGGTGGCAAAACCTTTCTGGATAAAGTATACTTTATTCAGGTATTCCTCAGCTATCGCTTAGCCTTTTCAGATCCATGTCTCACTGTAAGCATTTTAACTCTTCTGTTTATTAAAAAAACACACAGAACATTTCTAGAACTTGAAAGAGCTTTAAGAAACATTAAAATATCACACTAGCGATCGCTAATGAAACACAAAAATCTCTCATGGAGAAAGTAACAATTTTTTAACAGCTGTACAGCAATAGTGCTAGAGTGGAGGGCTGGAAGTAACCTGCCATTAAAGCTGTCAGCATCTAGTTATTCATACCAGAATGTAGTCAAAACATGTAATAGCAATCTTACTGCTGTTAAAGACACTATAAGGACAGTTATGCTTCCTGAACAGCACTGAGGTTTGAATTCAGTATTATTATCTTCCCAGTCATCAAACACCACTCCCCTGGCTTTTTTCCTTTGATCAAAACAATGACTGGCCAAAACCTGGGTATGTTACAAGCTTTTATTTTACATAAGAGCAGGAGCGGAACAGCTCATTTGCTTACTTGTTGTACGTAGCTTTGATGTGAGCTATTGGAATCTCTTCATAGATCTTTCCATCCCACCTCATGGAGTTCCTCTGCAGGATTAAAGGGCTGAGGAGCAAAACAAGAGTTATCAGGCACTCACTCTTTAAATTTTGCGAAGTTTTATTTCATACTGGGAAAGAAAGAAGGAAACAAATCTCCAAAAGACACAAGCTGCGTTTGTGATTGAGTCAAGTCACTTCCTTTCCTTCCTCGCTGAAAAACCA